TCACCATGCTTGAATAACAGCATTAATGCTAACTTGCAGCAGCCAGTAAATAACTTGTTTGTAGGCAACATCCGCTTGTATAGAGAGATTAAACCAGTCACTAAACACGTCTTTCCTTCAATCGATAACCATACGGTAATGCTGATTTCTTTAAATGGCTTATTTTCTACCTCTTGAGAAGCTTGCACCTAGCAAGAGTAGAACAATCTTTTTCGCATATTAAAATTTCTACTGGATTTGAATAGTTTCAATTAGATAATATCACACGTTCTTTTTCCTGTCCCTGTCAACAATCACCTGTATCCAGTGGAGAGTGCCGTGCGATATTCAGTGATGGAAACCGGGTGAAAGTGTATGAAGCATACTAATGAGCAGGAAAATGTCACTGGTATCAAACCGCAAGAAGCGAAGTGGAAACTCAAGTACTGGACGTCTGCATCCATGCTTATATACCTTTTGTAATTACGCACCTGTAACATTCATAGGCGTAGTCGCTTTTTAAATCGAGCAATAATTTTTCGTTTATTTATTTAAAGTTGTTGGTTTGTTTTGATTCAGCCAGCGTATGCGGCAGCGCCTCCCTATGTTGAATATCCAGATGGTGACTTCGAAGTATTCTTTGAAAAATATCTTCATACCTCCTATACATTACCTGACTTTATACAGTTGTTTGCGTGTTCCAGATAATATCACGCAAATTGAGGAATTTCGTAGGCCTGGTTTTCCGTTTGTTTGAAACTGCGGGTTTCAATGACGCCTACTGGTCCAGTTTGAGGGCTTCAATCCAATTCGTCGAATTAGTCCAACACCCCATCTGATTGATTTAATTGCTGCGTGAATGGAGTAATTTGCCTCTTTCAGTAACACTTCTTGACTCCACAAGAGCCTATCCACAATCCTGTCGTTTTCATTCGCAGGGATGCATTTGACCGCGAGGGTCCTACGCATGACGAACCTCTGCCTACTTTGTCATCAAAAATGACGAACTATTTTGTCACGATATAACTAAATAGCCTAAGGGAGAATTATGAATTCGATGGTATAGAGGTATAAATTCGGCTGGCATCCCAATAGTCCTGGTTCGCTCAGCAGTTCTACTATCCTCATCTGTTGCGGGGAAGTAAGTAAGAATACTGTCTGGGAGTACAGTGTTTTTAGGTGCGCAACAATTAAATTCGATCTACATCGGCTACGGTCGAATGGACTTACTTCAACGAAAGGCACTTCCGTGCGAATCACGACTCATATTGGCGACACATGTCACGATTCATACACGCAAAACCAGTGATTCATTGGGATGTTACAACTGGCTTGTACCAATTCGTTAATTGCGATAGCCGCTTTCCTGCCCAATTTCATCTAAAGGTGCTACCTCATCCATACAACCAGGCTAAACTGAAGCGGATACTCAATCTTATATTGCTACAAGGTAGGTGTTCATCCCTTATGGAATCTAAGGTCTGAGCATTTTTGATGAGAGTACTCATCACTGTTATTAAAAAGCCGGAGAATCAGGACCATCATGAACCTAGCTGATAGAAATAATAAGTTTATGGTGCGCTAGCATCTCACCATTTGGGCTGATTTGATGTCAAAATATACGTCCTAGTTTTGTCAACCCCCGACGAAGCGCTCACGCACCCCATTGGTACACGTTGTTTCCGCGGCAACTTTTGATAATATACTGGGCAACTGCAGTGCAGTTCTGCTCACCCGCAGATGGTACACGGAATGATGGTCTTTGCGTTGGTTCGTGATCGAACGTAAACTCCCGTAGTTTAGCTTCTGCTGAACTATTTACTTACTAAAGAATGTGTTTAGGAAGGAACTTGTCCTCAAAACTAGCCAGGTTTGGATAAACTAGCTGGAAAGTATATTAGCGCCACCAGTCAAACTCAGGATACTTGAAGTCACCCATCTTATTGTTAGCTCCTTATACATTCTAGGGGAAGTCACGGTCGTGCTCGATTTAACTTGAGCTCTCAACTCGAAATTTATGGTGGACAGTACAGATAATTCTGAAACACGAGACGACGTTCACGATAAACGCTAGCAAATTCTTCTATCTACTCTGCAAAATGAAATTGATGCTACTTAGGTTCTTTGTCCTAATGCATACGTCATTGACTGAGCGAAACTCTTTTCTGCCTATCTTAATCCAACTGCACCGCTGCGAGAGTGCAATGTCACGTAATATGACACGGGTCCATCTCAGGGTAAATCTTTAATTTCTCTTCTCTCGTCAAACTCGCGGGTCATTCTCATGTGTAATTCAACGCTGGTTAAAACCCACACTTGCAGACGATGACGTCCTGTCTGTTCAAACAAGTCAAGCGTAATCAATGTTCCGCGTCGTTGGTTCACCTCATGTCATTTCAGTTTTTGGACTGTCGGCTGACGTGTAAACTTAGGCAGGCGACAAAGGCCAAAACCACACCATCAAGCCTCTGACGATACGATATATCCGCCCACTCTGTGGGCGCTTGGACTGTGTCCTTAGGATATTACGGGACTTTGTTTCAAATTCATACATGACGCGATTGCTGCAATTACACTTATCCATCTGTCTCAAGTAATGGTTGTTGCGTTCAGTCGGGCAGCATGAGGCCCAGAAAATTAGCGTCTGAGCGCCTCTAGACACCTCAGTAGAGGCCCTAAATAGGGTAATTGAGTAAAGGATAAAACCTCGACCTACTGTGGCGATTAGAATTCTGGCATCCCTGCTGTCTGCTGCAGGGATTCTGGATGCGTATATTTGCTCTGTTTTATAATGCTTGACTTCGTTTGCGCTCCTAAGATAGATAATCCCATCCTTGGCTGCTGGAGTGGAATTTGGGTCGAGAAAAATAAAATCCTGTTTACCCAAAGTTTATGTCATGAGTGGGTCAAGGTAGTCCAAAGTGACAGGCAATGTAGACACTGCCAATAGTTGGAATTACTCTCCGACAAATGCTGTGGGTTGTAAGAATTCTTCATCATTGTCATTTATAACTGTTATTTTGCCCAGTCGAACAACAGTAAATGGAATTAGGTTTTTATAGCACCATTAAAATTTCAGGCAAACCGGTGACGAAAGACGAATGCCAATCCCACAGGGGATAGAACTGTGTGAGAAAATGAGTGGTGCGCTAAACCTAACTTACAAACATCATCATTATATCATTCTACACGTCAGCTGGAGGTGGGAAACACCTCAGCTACCGTGCCGCAAGGAAAGATTCATTGTAAATTACAAACACCTTTCTCTGAAATAACAGAGGACATTCAGTTGTTTCTATAAATAAATGACATTTAACTTAAGTCGAAAATTCGTAATGTCACTAGACAAATAATTTGTTAAGACCAGATGGGAAAATTACCTTTGTGTTATACACACTCCTTCATTTCACTGGCTCCAATCTCGATATCTAAGATAAGGGCAACTAGCTTTAACGTGAAGCCACTTCTTATTCATTTGAGCGATAGCAAATATTTGAGCCGCTGGTTCCAACGTAGGTGGACTCATTTTGGTGCTTAGCCCTTTACATACACTTAAGCTTGCGGAAATCAACAATACATTCTCACATTTGCTAGCACGTCTACTTCAACGCTCACTTCATTGCCACCTAGATGAATAAGAATGTAACTCCGGTAAAGCTTATATAAAAACATTTGCTTCTACTGAAGCAATACTACTAAAAGCAAGGTGCCTTGGCTATAATCAGTAATCAATACAAAGCAGTGGTTTTAGTTGTAGAATTGGTCTCGAAATTCACTGGGTAATGTCACAACTGGGAGAACTGAAAACAGTCTCACATATCAGCCTAGTGCCATGAGTCACTACGCAAAATGTCGTCTTGGTGATAGCTGGCAACAATCCACATACAATGAAACTGCATTGTGTGACGAACTTCCTTTCAGATTAAATACCTCAAGTTTTCGATCCTAGCTATAAACCGTGTTATATTGCCTTTTTCTTGAAGTTGAAACTGTGTCTTAACAGAGCTTCTGGGTAGTTAGTTCAACCCCAGCTAGCCTTCCACGAACCAAATCACTGATTGGTTCGCCCCTCAAAATATGCAGCAAAGTGTAGCGTTGCGAGTGAACCGAAGTACTTTGATGAATTGACAGGACGATCACCACAAAATATGCACTCAGACAGAAGTGAATGAACGAAACTGTGCATACCTGATTTCCCAATATATTTATCCTATCTACCTGTTGGTATTCAACCACTAAATACAACGTAAAATTGTTTACTGTGTATGGTGGCAAATTGTATGAACTTGGAAAACATGGCACTTTAATTTACGCATTACCAATAGTTACAATGTCAGCATAAACAATAATCAGACCTATATATCGCGGTACCGAGAAACCGGAACCCTCAAAGCGACGTTTGGTAGTTACATGAACATCACGCTCCGGCATGCATGAC